TAATAACATTATTGGTATCATTTAAAAAATCATGATAGGATGAATTTTAGCAATACTAAGAAATGTAACCAATAATAATTGTAAGCGAGCCCTGATATTTTTTAACGATTAATGTGTCTTATTTTGTTCACTATTTTGTGATTTTTTTGTGTTATTTAATTTTTTTTGTTGATATCTTTTTAATGGTACATGTGATATCATTATCATAGTTAATTAATATGTACCTACGAGGTCTTTATTTTTTTTATGTTGTTTTTTCTCTACTTTTTCATCCTTGTAAATTGTGAAGATATATGAGAGAGAAAAAAAGAAAAAAAATATAATAATTTCGAAAGCACATTAAAACTCTGATGACAACATTGCCGATAATATTAAAAAGATTTCAATAAAACTAATCCAACAAGATTAAAAAGATCACAAACGGGGAACAAATTTAGCCATACAAGCCTTCAAATGTGTTTGAGTTTACTTATCTTTAGGCTACTCGTATGACCCATTTCAATCATTGTTTGTGATATTTTTTAGTATTGTTGGATTCATCTATGATATCGATAATATTGTTATCAGAGTTTTGATAAGCTTTTGATATCTTTTTTTTTTTATTTTTCTTTTTTCATTGAATCATTCTTTCACTAATTTGGCAATTTAAAATAGTAGAAAATAGTGGCAAATGATAATCCTGATTCATGAATTACAAATTAAACCACACTTTAGACTTGCTAATCACAAATATGAATTGTTTTAAATGTGCAATTTTCACACATGTTTTTTGCAATGAGATATTTTATCATTTTGTTTTATCCATGTTAGAATCCCAAAAAAAACTCCATATAAAACGTCTGATCATGTGAGGCGGTGCATCTCCATGGTATAGGACGAAGCCTGGTAGGCTTCCCTTCCCCGTACCGGCTAGCTTAGCTGATTAATTTAGTAAAACAACATAGAGGTGACTGCCGGCCTCCTCCATACCGACAAGCTTTTGAAAACCTGATGTGTGCACAGGAAATTGTCATAAGTTCCGCATCATTGCGCGCGTGTTCTCATTTCTACAGATCTAGCTTGGCCATGCTTTTCCCTAACTCTTATTGAAAACGTGTCGACTATCTTTATTAACAAACTAATTACTTCAGGGTGACGGGGAAATCAAGTGTAAACTGCATTTGATCTGACCAGAAAAATGGATTTAGTTTTGAAGTTTAAGAATTAGTCTAAAAATACCCATAATTGTAAAACCAGAAAATAAACCAATATTTACGTACATTGCTGTTCTCGTGTTTTGCTGGCACAGCAGATGCTTTGGCCTTGGTTCAAAGTTTGGAGCTGCTATGCAGAATCACAAGACAATGCTGTGACAACTTCGTTGCTTGTTTCTATTCGAGTAATAATGATTTGTAAAATAATTTCTTGACGAAAATATCACGAATATAAACACGAAATAAATAGCCAGAAAATATGTTAAATCACAATTACTGCTATATTTTCTATATATTCGATGTTTCGGTCGAAAAAGTCTTGTTATTTATAGCACTACATAACGTTTGATTGTCTGCCAAGACAACAAAGCAATGTTCACAATCTTGTTGCAGCGTATTGCTTATAATATATGCTGCGCTCGTGTATTTTCTTTGTAAGCAGGCTAGAAGGCAAAGTGGCCCTCATAACAGGAGGTGCGAGTGGCATTGGCAAGACCACAGCCCACGAATTCATCAAGCATGGAGCACGAGTCATCATTGCTGACGTCGACTCAGAAATTGGTCCACAAGCTGCCAATGAGCTTGGTCCTGCAGCCCACTTTGCCCAATGTGACGTGACAGCAGAGGCTCAGGTAGAAAAGGCGGTGGAGATTGCACTGACAAACTATGGGAAACTTGACATAATGTACAACAATGCTGGTATAACAGGGCCATCGTTTCCACCAAGCATCGCAGACCTTGATCTAGATGAATTTGACAAGGTCATGCAAATCAATGTCAGAGGCATGGTGGCGGGGATCAAGCATGCAGCACGAGCGATGATACCTGCTGGCTCGGGGTGTATTCTCTGTACATCCAGTATTAGTGGACTTATGGGTGGGCTTGGCTCCCATTCCTACTCAGCGTCAAAATCCACAATCCCTGGAATCGTCAAGTCCGTGGCGAGCGAGCTATGCGAAAATGGGGTTAGGATCAACTGCATTTCACCAGGTCCGATTCCGACCACACTCTCCTTGGCCCAGATAGGCTTGATGTATCCTGGTGCTTCCCAAGAACAGTTGATAGAGATTGTGAATGGGCTCGGGAAGCTGAAGGGGGCTAAGTGTGAAGAAATTGATGTCGCCGAAGCCGCCTTGTATCTGGCATCAGATGAAGCAAAGTACATAACTGGGCATAACCTCGTCGTGGATGGAGGGTTGACCTGCTTTAAAAATCTCGCACTCCCTTCTCCTGGTGAATTTGTGTAATTTAGCATCTGCCATTCTCACACCTTTTGGCTTAATCATCAATCGTTCCGGTTTCTTGTGAAGGTGATATCAGCCTACAAGGACATAATTATATATTATTCACTTACAAGGGAACCAGACAGGCTGTGTTTTTCCATCATTTAAATATCCTCTTCAAGTTATATTAAAAATATATCCTCTTCAAGTTATATTAAAAAAATAAAAAATAAAAATATATATTCTTCACAATATCTTAATATATTAAAGAAAATAAGTTTTTTATAAGATGATGGCGATCGGGTGCGTGAGGCGACCATTCAGCTCCCAATGGTCCCCAGCAACAGGAGAGCATCTCTCACGTGGAGTGATAGGGAGGCAGCCAGCCAATGAAGTCCACATTGGATTTCAACCTTTGAGACTTTGACAACGCATGCAGATCAATGGTAACCCGCAGCAAAAATCAATGCGCTCTCAGCAAATTCTGGTGGCACAGCCGTTTGATTTATCGTAATGTGAGAAATTTATCAGACAATCTACTATCTTGGCCGTCGGATTGAACTGAAAAAACAGGAGGGAGGGTTTATAAAATCATTAAAGAGTAAAATATTCTTTTAGTCCTTCGGTTTTTGACTCAGTTACAACTTAGTTTCTCTTGTTTGATAACAGATAACTGAGTCCCTTTGACTGGATCCTGATTTAATTTTTTATTTTGAGAAACACACTGTCTCTCACGTCTAAGAACCCAAGAAAACTTAAAAAACCACACACACACCTAATCTGTTATTTCCCGTGTTCTCAATGCGGCTGGGGACAATTGTTTTTTTAAATTAAAAAAAATAATATCTAATAATTTAGTAAATTTTTTGAAATTGTATAATAGTTTAAATATGAATTTTATTTACTTGATTTTTTATATAATGAAATTTAAAATTAAATAGTGTGAAAATTATTTTTGATATGATCTTATCTATCAAACAAGTTTAAAAAAATTAAATTAATTTTAATTAACTCACTAATCATGTAATTTAGATTATAAACTCCATGTTGTGTCAAATTAATTTTTTTTATTTTTTATATAAAAAAATAAAAATTAATTTATTATTAACCCATTATTAAAACATAAAATTTAATAAAAATATCATATTAAAAAATAAAATAAAAAAAATAAAAAACTTAAATAACTAATAAGAAAGAGAGTGAAGACATACAAGCTTAAGTGGTCCAATATGATTAGGCATGTTACAACAAAGCCTTCACATGTGAAGTTAAAGGAAACCGATTTTTCTTTTTTTAAAAGGGGTGGACCGTTGTGGATCCCCATGTTTTTTCAATAAAAAAAATACACAAATAACAAGTTATTTGTAGCATAAGACACAAAGTTATTCCTAACCAGAATCAAACTCGTAATTTTTAATTAAAAAAGATGTTTGAAAATATAGTTATGTTTTTTTTTTAAATATTTTTCGTTCAGAAATATTTTAAAATATTATTTTTTTTCTTTTTTAAAAATTATTTTTAATATTAATATATTAAAATAATTTATAAACATAAAATTTTTTAATTTTAAACCAAAAAAAATTAAATTTTAGGAAACCTTTGTTTCGATTGCACTCCCAAACAAAAGCTAGGATACTTAAATTAACCAACGGAGTCACAGCACATAGATATTATTACATAATTAGAAAAATATAAAATATATTCAAAAAAATAATTAAATTGACTCCATATTATTAAGTTATTATATTAAAATTTAGTTTTACACGCACATCCTCAACTGTTTACCATTCTTTCTTGTCGCGGTTTTCCTTTTCTACATAAAAAGTCAAATTTTTTTCACCAAGAGGATTAGAAGCAGTGACCCGTTTCTTTGTTGATCGATTGTTCAATTCACCCACCCCGCACCGCAACTTGGATAATAAAAACTTAAAAATTTCAAAGAATTTTTATTGTTATGCATATATTGAAAGTAATAATTGTTATTTTTTTAATATAGATATTAAAATTAGTTTGTATATATTTTTATTAATTTTATGAGTTTTAAAATTAATAATTATATAAGTCTCTAGTGATCATAAGATTTGTAAAATTTGAATAATTGATATTTAAAAAGTAAATTAAGACCTAATTAATTGAGCTATATTTTTTTATAGTATTAACATAAATGTCTAGACTAACTTGCATATATTTTAACTAATTTTATATGTTTTGAAATTAATATAGCTCCGTGAAACTTAAATTTGTGATTTTTAAAAAATAAATTTAGAATTTGATTAGTTAAGTTATATTAAAGATTTAATATTATCATTTATTTTTTAAATAACAAGTTATTATTTTTATTATTAATGAAATTACTTATTTATACTTTACTTAGCATTATTGAATTATGTTCTATTGGAAAAGGAAGAAGAAGAAGTTAGCGGAGGTTTAGAGAAAAATCAAAATGAGTCAGAAGGACTAATTTATAAAGTTTCCAACTTGAAGCATGGATTTACAATAACGTTGAGAACCAAGGACCTAAATAATAACTTACTAATTAAAAGCGGAAAAAGAACATTTCCCAAGCTAATAGAAAGCAAAACAACATGCTGAAAAACACGTTTTTGAATGGAGCATTGGTGCATATAAGGAAAGAGGAAATCAGAGAGAAAGAGAGGGAAGGACGGAGAGGGGCCGCCGTGCTTGTTCACTTTTGTTTTCTGCCTCTCGCGTCCCTTCAGTGCCTCGAAGCGTTCTTGTTTTTGTTTGCACAGCTTCTCTGGATCTCTGAAGGAATCCACCTTTTTCTTCTTCATTTTCAGCCTCCTGCTGCCGTTCCCTCTCTTCACGAGGCTTCTCTCTCACGAAGGTACTTGCTCCTTTGCTCATATCGTTATTGATTTTTTCACTGTTTCAATTGTTATTCCGTTTCTCTGCTATCTTTTCTCATTGGTTTGGTAAAGAGTTCGTTGTTTTTTTTGTAGATAGATTGATAGAGTTGCTGGATATTAATCTCTCAATTAACAGAGAAAATTATTTGATTTGTCGACTTGAAAAAACATTTGATCGAAGAGCATATTTGGAATAATACATTATGGAAAACACACTACATTTTTCTGCTACTCTTCAAGCTGCTGCCTCCCCTGTTTTCTCCAAGAGGATGAATAAAATGCATTGCCAGTCTTTACGAGTCCAGATGGTTAACTATAATTCCGTGGCTACAAATTTGACACTGTCTAGAAGTAATAGGGTTTTGAAAGTGAGTTGTGAGGCAGCCAGTGTTGATGTACTTGAAATGAACAAAACCGAAAATCAAGCCGAGACGCAGCTAACATGTGTGATGAAGTTCGGTGGTTCTTCGCTGGCCTCTGCCTGGAGGATGAGAGAGGTGGCTGAACTTATTCTTAGCTTTCGAAACGAGAGGCCTGTCATTGTTCTCTCAGCCATGGGAAAGACAACTAACAAACTTTTGCTGGTTTGACTGCTTTCACTTTGCTTTTCTGTCTCTTTTTTTTTTTTTTTTTGGGGGGGGGCGCAAAATGGAGTTATAATTGTCAACTTAATTATAGGCTGGAGAAAAGGCTGTTAGTTGTGGTGTTACTAATGTAGACAGTATTGAAGAACTCAGTATCATTAAGGAATTGCATCTCCGGTGAGGATTCTACTCTTCTCTTTCTTTTTATTTTTATTTTGTTCCCGGAGCCATAAAATTCAATTGAAGTTGTTCTATCTTATCAGGACTGCGAAGGAACTGGGAGTAGACGAGTCAGTTATTGCTAGTGAGTATCTATTCGCAGCCGAGAAGGCTTATGCAAGTTCCTCTACTTTTTAGTAATATATATGCATTGATGTAATTTACAATATAGAATGAAATTGTTTGTCACATTGCAAAGCCAACGATGCTAGGACTTGTTCAATTTCCTGTATCAGCTCTTCATCTCATGGACAAGGGGAAACCTCTTAAACGTACTCCTTTTGCAGAACACCTGGAGGAATTAGAGCAGCTTTTGAAGGGAATTGCTATGATGAAAGAGCTGACTCCACGCACAAAAGACTACCTGGTTTCATTTGGGGAGTGCATGTCCACGAGGATTTTTGCAGCATATATGAATAAAATCGGTGCAAAAGCTCGCCAAGTAAGTGGTTGTCTTTCTTCTTTCTTTCTTTCATTCTTTTTTTTTAAACCATCTTAATCTGATTCTTAGATTTCTCCCTGACCTGCTTATCGAGTCCACATGTCCACAACGGCACCGTGATTTATGAAATCCCCATTTGCTATAATATTTTACCCATTCACCATTCAGCCACACTGAACAGCAGCAGAACAATTTGCTCGGGATCTGATTATACTTAATTCCACTTTCTATCAATTACAAACATGATCTTATTAGATTTTGGATAGAGAACACAGGGAAAGGAGGGATACGGACAGACAGCTTGGTAGAAATTTTCTATGTTTTATGGATCAAACGAATGGCATTATCTATCATAAATAAAGGGTCTGCATGACCAGCAAATTTTTTAAATTTAAGATTTTCTCAGTTAATGACGTTTGACTATATGATAGGATAGGCTTTAACAATCATGTGTTTACTGTGAATTCTAAATCCAATACAATAAATTACCAATCACGGTTGTGTTATATTGTGACACAAAGGAAAACAAATGTTGATCAATTGTGTGAGCAATTAAAAGTTTCAAGGGTTTACAATGTCATATGTCTTTCAACTTCAGTTATTAAGTTTTAATACAGTTTCTAAACCTTTTATAGTTTTTTTTAATGGAACAACTGTACGTGGTAGTAATCAAGAAAAAGACCTCCAATGAGGAATGAAGCTATTGCTCAAAGCTGCTCAACATCTCTTCTGAACAATTCAGAATGGTAATTTTACTTCATGTAAAATATCCAGATTGTTAATACACGGACGGCAGTTGGATCAAAGATGAGATTAAATCCGTAGTATCTTTCTAATGAAGATTTGATGTCTTTTAGATGGAGAAAGTGAAGATAAAAAGTGCATTGCAGTACTGCAGTCATTTTCTTAATAACAATAAAGTGCACCCATTGTGTTACTATTTTGGGATTTTTACTGTGAAATGAACACTATCCCTGATAACAGCATTATAATGTATTGTATTTTCCTCCTTTTTTGCAGTATGATGCTTTCAAAATTGGTTTTATCACCACAGATGACTTCACGAATGCAGACATTCTAGAACTAACTTATCCGGCTGTGGCACAGAGTTTGCATGGAGATTGGATTAGAGATCCTGCAATTCCCATTGTTACCGGCTTCCTTGGAAAGGTCTTTCCACCAACTAATTTCTCGGGACACCTTGTTTGTGAAATTAATGAACTCCTTATAGGAGAGAGTTTATGGAAAGCTTCATTGATATATGTTTTTTTTCTTTCCTTTTTTGATATTTCTAATTGCAGGGCTGGCGATCTTGTGCTATTACTACATTAGGCCGTGGTGGCAGTGATTTGACGGCCACAACAATTGGAAAAGCATTAGGTTTGCGAGAGATTCAGGTAACTGCAGACACTGGAAGTTCGTAATAGATAGCATAGCTCCAAGGAATTTTGCCATAATTTCCCCTCCCAAATACCACAAACCGAGTCAATTTTAAGTCATTGTTTGTTTTCGAAGTCAAAGTTGAAATAATATATAAAGCTGAAGTAAGCAAGATGACTGCTACAAACACAAGATCCGGTGCAAAACCTGAGCACCATTACAACACTGTTCTAAGACCCAAGAATAGACTCTGGTTGCTGCCACATGAAATAGTAGCAAGAAGCAAGATAATTCATATTTTTCCTCCACAAAACATTCCTGCCACCGTCATTACCCCCGTTTTTCATCACTTCTCAAGTTTATCTCCACTAGCTCTAGCTTTCCTAAAACTCCAATATAATCATCTGCTCAAACCAACAACACTGCCATCACAGTCGTCACCAAGATAGCTAGAGCCTTAATGCTACAGCCCAATCTACCAGAAAACACAAACCCCAATAAACCTACACAACCCTTTGCTGGTAGTCAATACCAACAACTATGTCCCCATAATCTAGAGCTTGAAAACCATAAAACTACCAATCTAACCATCAACACCACTCACAAACCACAAACACGACCACTCAAACCACCATGACCGTTGCCTAAAGCATCATAGACAGTAAAACAAGGAAGATATCTCACCACCTCCACCACCACAACCTGAGACTCCACCAGCTTCACTGCCACACCACTACCAGTCAAATTGTCAAAGCATCACTACCTCCAGCAAACCCAAATGGACAGCAAAGATGGTTTTTTGCAAGCAAGAGAAGGAGAAAAGGTAGCAAACTGAGGTACAAGCAGAAGGATAGGAAACCCAGATCTAAAGAATACTTTAAAATTATGAAAGAAAGTGAAAGAGAGAGGAAAATGGAGAAAAAGAGGGAGAGAATCCAACTAGGAAATATTCACTGTTTCTCCCTAATCCATACAGATATTGTGAAAAGATAGTTGTGTTTCAACTGTGTGTACTTGGTTGGCAATGTTCTTCTTTCTTCTGATTTTTTGCAACTCTCTTTCTTCATCCATGAATGCATTTATTAATGAAATGTAAGCGTGCAGGAAAATGCTTTTTCTAGAAAATATAGAACTGTGCTGAAGTTCATAAAAGTTTATTGAGTGCATTTCTGTAGAAATTCCATTTTCAATTGAAATCAGACTAATAATTTTTTTTTAAATCCACTGTAGGTGTGGAAGGATGTTGATGGTGTTTTGACATGTGATCCTAATATATATCCACTTGCTGAACCTGTTCCATACTTGACATTTGACGAAGCAGCGGAACTAGCATATTTTGGTGCTCAGGTATCATAATTTTATGGCTTGTGACATAGTCGAGCATGAGTGTGAAACTTATGATTTTATGATTAAAATTGAAATATCTTGTAAAAACCATACGCGAGTAATGAATCTTTACACTTCCTTTCCCTTTTTTTTTTTTAATATATTTTTTAAAATGACCTCAATTTGGTTATTGTTGACAAGCTTCCTAACCCCCCCCTCCACTAGTTAGTTTATGGATCACAGTCAAGCTGGAGCTTAATAACTAGTCTATTTATGAATCTCCAAATTCTAACTTGAGCAAACGCCCAAAGTAACCATGTCTTCTCTAACCTTTTTATTTGTACCTTTCTGCAGGTCTTGCATCCACAATCCATGAGACCTGCTAGGGAGGGTGATATTCCAGTTAGGGTTAAAAATTCTTACAATTCGAATGCTCCTGGGACTCTCATCACCAGGACACGAGATATGAGTAAGGTTTGTATTAGATGATGCTTAATGATTGCAATGTGAAGAACTTGAAATAAAATTATTCTTTTCTTTGTCCTAATTACAGGCAGTACTAACTAGCATTGTTTTGAAACGGAATGTTACTATGTTGGATATTGTTAGCACCCGCATGCTTGGCCAATTTGGTTTTCTTGCTAAGGTTCGCAGCTAAAATCTGTTTCTAATCCTCTAGCCCCCATTTATCCCAGATGTTTCAATTTCCTTATCCCTATTAAATTTTATCCATTTAGGTGTTTTCGATCTTTGAAGATTTAGGAATATCAGTAGATGTTGTTGCTACTAGCGAAGTCAGCATCTCCTTGACACTCGATCCATCAAAGCTTTGGAGTAGAGAGCTGATTCAGCAGGCAAGCGTATGGCATCTTTTATTTGTTATGATTTGTTTTTTTACAGTCTGTATTTTGGTATTTATTTTCCAGCAGGATATTTTATTCATGTCTACTTTTGGCATTCAATCTCATCTGCTAATGTACCTTCCTTTAACAGGAACTCGACCATGTTGTGGAAGAGCTTGAGAAAATTGCTGTAGTCAATGTCCTGCAGCATAGATCAATAATCTCTCTCAATGGGAATGTCCAGAGGTCCTCTCTGATATTAGAGAAGGTGATCCATTGATCTTTTCTTATTAGTTAAGACTGGTTTTCTGGAAACTTGTTTCTTCTTTGGGTGAAAAAAGGCATCGCTTTTTTCCTCCTAGTCCCTAACTACATAATCTAATCATCTATATTACTTTTGTTTAGTGATGAGAATCCTGTCTCTTCTGTAGGAACTTTTAGATTTTGTTCCTTGCACTCTCCAGAAACTAACATGTTAGGTTAGTGGATCATGGTAAATGCTGTGTTTTCATTGATGAAACCTTCCATCTTTGATTTAGCGAGGACCAGCTGCAACTTCAAAATGATGACCTTGTGGGATAATGTTTTATAAAAAAGCTTTTCAGCCATATTCATTATTTTCAAAGCCAGAGCTCAGCAGGCACCTTACGACCTGGAAAGAAGTTTCAAGGGAGACCTGAGTATTATATTTAAGCATAGTGTTATGCAACAACTGTTTTCCCAATATATTTTCCATCAGTGTCCGGACTGTTGTGGTGAAGGATATTAAGCTTATCTGTCTATTTATTTGCTCATTCATTTCTTGTTCATTTACCGGATATGTGTTATGGCAGGTCTTCAATGTTCTTCATATCAAAGGAATCAACGTTCAGATGATATCACAGGGCGCTTCAAAGGTATCACACCTATACTATGGTTTCCCCCTGCATGCCTTATTTTCAGTACGCACCATGTATGGAACTTTACAGCTTCGGAGCCCGAGAATAGGCTTTTGTGAGCACCCTTCTTGGACGCTATATGCCATAGAAGGATCCAGATGGCTCCTTATCTTGGGGTGCTCACCATTCCCGGGTCTCGGGTGCTCCTTAGCAATTTGTTGACTGCCACGACAAGTAACTCACCATTGGCTTTCACTTACCAGGTTAATATCTCATTAATTGTGAATGATGATGAAGCAGAGCAGTGTGTCAGGAGTCTCCACTCAGCTTTCTTTGAAAGCGACGTCTCTGAATTAGATGGGAAGTGTGTATCTGATAACGGTTCGGTTCAGCTACGAAGTGAAGAATGATTTGAGTTCTTAGCAGCAAGATCTTAGCTGGTAATGGTGGTTGATTTGTCTGGTACGTTTGTGTTTTTGTCTTCCGGTCCAAAGATAGGCACTGTACCTACACTCTCGGCATCCTGGAATTTACTGCTTTTGATATAGCCACCTCTCATCGTGTAATTGAGTAGTTATTTACTAATCTTTGTAGTTTATCAAAACTGATTATGTGGAGAAATTTTAAGTGATAATTTTCAAGAGATGCACGAGGAAGAGAGAATAAAAAAATTCGTTGTATTGATACTTGTAAATTACAACACCGAGTCAAAGGCCCTACGGTTAAATATATTATGTTTTGATAACCTATTCGCTTTGATCTAACCGTTGGGTTTTTTTTTTTTTTTAAAAATCATTACTTATCCAATTGGTCCGCTAATGGATGGTGATTTCTTAGTTCTTATACTAAGGGTGAGCTTACGACCAATAAATTGGGTTGGTATTTATCAAATTTGATGAGAGTTTATTTTTATAATACAATCGGATTGTCAAAGTATTTTTTATGTAGTTTTTTTTTAAATTAAATTAATATTTTTTAGATATTTTTAAATTTTCGTGATGTATTAATATAAAAAATAAAAAATATATTATTTTAGCAATTAAAAAACACCATTAAAATTGCTTTGCATTGCATTACTAAATATATATTTGATATCATGCCTCTTTTTTTTATCTGGTTAAAGTGTAACAACACCAATTTTAAATTTAAATAATTCTAATTTTTAATAATTAAAAAAATATTTTAATAAAATTTAATAATATTAGAAAACTCAGCTCTGATAAATTAATTTTAAACTTAAGGACCTGAGATCTTTCGAGTTTAAAATAAGCAAAAACCTGGCCTTGCAATTAGACCAATCAAACATGGATTATCTGCTAAATCAACCTAAAATTTAAGTAATTATGTGTAATCTAGGTAACTGCATGTAATCTAAGTAAAATTTGATTTTTATATAATTTTTTTAATAAAACCCAAAAAATATATAATTAATTTATAAATATTTAGTTTTACATATTTTTGTAGTCTATATTTATATAAATTATTTTTTATTTTTTCGATATGGAATATATATAATGTTTATTAACTTTATAATGTGGGATAATTATATATAATTTACATCAACATGCATTATTTTTTTAATGTTATGATATATAGGTTACATTTATATGAATTGATTTTTAAATTTTTAATTGATATAGAATAATTATACTATACATTTCAAGTCTTTTTTTTTATATATAGCTCAGGTTTGCATGTATTGTTTTAAAAATATTTATATGTGATATTAAAATTTTTAATATATATATAATTTTATCAGATTTACCATGATGATCTAGAATCCAATTTCTTAGCTGAATCAACCCGGATGAAGCTTAATAACTTTGAAATTTAATTCTAAAAACGAAATACAACTTGGTAATAGCAAAATAAGGAGGAACAACCTTTTAATTTATAGACGGGCACCGCCTAGGATTCGTTTCTGCAACCCGATCCCATAAATACCCGAACTCGAACCCGCACCGTTGTATAAATATCCAAACCCGTAATCTTGCCAGCGCGTTATAAAATCAAAACACGTCATTTTCTCTTTAGGGTTTCAGGAAAAAAAAACCCAGCAGCCATGGCTTGCACCATCGACTTCCGTTGCCTTGACGAAGGCTTTGGCGGAAAAACTTACAAGCGTAAACGCGAAGAAGCACTTCAATTAACCGCAACCGCAACCGCAACCGCAACCGCCGATGCATCGATGGAGATTGACGCACCAGCGGCAAAGCGAAAGGCTATACCTTCATCGGATAATCCAGACAAGCCGGTTGCCGTGGGAAAGCCGACATACGATGGGGTGATAGCAGGGAAGGTGTCGGGACGCAAGTGGAAGCAACCAAGGAAACAGAGAGCGTCGGCGAAGCACGTGAGTAAGAAGGGCACGAGATACGAGGACAGGGAAAG